TCCAACACCCTCACCTGCTCAGCAAGGTGGAGGAGGAAGGAGCTCCTGCTGCCCAGGCACATTAGTCTGGTGGGCTTTTGTCTTCTGTGGGGTACCCTTGTTTCTCTTTGAGGTCTTGGCCCCTACCAGGCTCTTCCTAATCAAGAAAAAGCCCAAACTTGGCTTCTGAGAAAGAGTAATCATGTAACTTCATTCTTGACCAAAGAATTCTGGGCTGTTAGAATTGCCAACTTCCCACCCTTTTTCAATCTCAGGTCGGAGAGCCTGGCACCCATCTTCCCCACCCCAAGTATTGCAGCATCTCTCCTCTTTCCCCAGAGGCTCCCAGAAAGATTACAGAAAGGATGCCAGCATTGGCACGAAGGTTGTCTGCTGGTTCGTCCACAACAACGGAGAAGGGCTGATTGATGGTGTCCACACCGACTACATTGTCCCCAACCTGTTTTGAGTAGACACGCCAGCTCCTGTTGGGATGGATGGCCCAGATTTTGTGGCATCTGGAACCTGGGCACAGAGAGGGGCCTGTGGGAGGGGCTGGGAAAATAAAGTCCAAGGTTGAGACCAGACAGTTGCCAGCCTCTACATGCTTTCATGAGCCTCTGCTCCAGGGAACAGGCAGCTGGGACCCATGGTAGCTCAAAGAAGGGGATGGTTAGCAGGAAGGCAACTTCTTGGGCCTCTCCACTGACACAGCTGAGAGACAGAGTTGGTTGGACTGGAACTTTAGGGAGTCAAATGTATGACAGCTTGGGGGAAAAATAAAGAACTGACTCTGAAGGAAAGGGGCTCTGAGAAGTCAGGAAGGGTTGAATGTATTTCAGTATCCAGGAAAGTCATAAGATAAGTAAATGGTCCCAGCTCAGGAGCTCCAATCAGGACCTTTAGAAGTAGATAATACTCCAGTGCAGACACAGCCCACATCTAAATGGGGATGTCAGCCACCCTTCCATCTATCCATCCATCTACCCACCATCCATCCACCCATCCCTCCACCCATCCATCCATTCATCCACCCACCCACCCATTCACCATTCCACCATCTGTTCACCCATGCATCCACTCATCCATCTGTCTGTTCCTCTACCATGCATGCATCCACCCATCAACCTATCTATCCATCCCTCTGACCATCTGTCCATTCATCCATTCATCCCCCAGCTACCTATTCATCATCCAACTATGCATCTGTCCACCCATCCATCCTACCATCTGTCCATCTCTCCATTTGTCCATCCATCCATCCATCCATCCATCCAACCATCAATTCACCCACCCATCCACCCACGTACCCATCCATCAATTCAGCAGATAAACACAATACCCTGGGCCAGGATCTGGGGGTACAGTTGAGTAATCCAGTTCCTATTTTCATGAGTGCTCAAGTTTGTCTTCAGCTGGGCCAGGCATCTCTGGGATCCTCTGATTGTACCTTATGATGACCACTTGTTGTATCCTCCCAATGAGTCTGTGGTGGGGTAGAGGGTCAGAGAGAGGTTCCTGGACAAGGGGCTTTGAGACTTCTCCAGTTTGGACAACTCTCTCCCACCTGGACACCTGCAATTGCCACTTCCTGAGTCTCCCTGCCTCCTCTACTGCTTCCCATAGAGAGCTTTTTACAGAGCAGATGTGATCACCACTCGCGGACTAAATCCCTACAAATGACATCTTCCATCCTTGGCTCTTGGAACCATGACCAAGGTCCCTCCTATGGACTCTCTAGCTTCCCCTCATACACTAGGTGCTTCCCTTACTTTCTGGGTTCCAGACACACAGGCTGCTCTCAACTGTGCAAACATAACCCATCCTGCCCACATCCTTTGCCTCTGCTGTTCTCTCTGCCTGGGGGTGGGGAGGGAGTAAGGGCATGCTGGGCAGAGAGTATCCTGTTAGAGGATGCAGTGAGTGGCTTTGCCTGATGTCAGAGCAGGGGGCACAATAAGACTGGAGGAGGTTGGAATCAGACTGGGGAGTGCCACAAATGTCAGTGGGGCATGGCATGTGGCCTTGGGGACATGAAAGGAAGTTGTCCTGCCTCCCAGTGCAGGGGTCCCTGGAGAGAGGACTAGAGGCCATGAAGGACAGTCCAGGGGCAAATGTTTGTCATCAGAGGAGTCCCCCAGGTGGCTCCAGGGTGCTAATGGCAGGCCAGTGCTTGTTGTTGCTCTAGGGAGGGGGCCACATAGCCATGGCTCCCATCTTGAAGGCCTCCTCATAGCCCCAGGGTGAATGTGGCAGAGGGCCAGGCTAGACAGGTTAAAAGGGCCCAGGCCTAAGAAAAGACCCCTCCATAGTGGGCGAGTCCCCTCATCCTGTTCAAGCCTGGGTTGATTGAGGAGCCATATAGCTATTACTATTATTATTTTTCTTGAGATGGGGTCTCACTCCCATTGCCCAGGCTGCAGTTGTACAGTGGTATGATCACAGCTCACTGCAGCCTCGACTTCTCAAGCTCAGGTGATCCTCCCACTTCAGCCTCCAGAGTAACTGGGACTACAGGCATGTGCAATCAAACCTGGCTAATTTTTGTATTATTTGCAGAGACAGGGTTTTGCCATGTTGTTCAGGCTGATCTTGAACTCCTGGGCTCAAGCGATCTGCTCGCTTCGGCCTCCCAAAGTGCTGGTATTATAGGTGTGAGCCACTGCCCCCGGCCCACATAGCTTTAAAACAGTCATCTTGAGGTCAGTTTCCACATCTATGAAATGGGGAGAAGGATCCTGCCAGGCGAAGGGTGTGAAAAGGCGTTCTCGTTATGGTTTCTGGTCCTCCTCAGGTGTCTCCAGGAAGACAGCTCCAGTAGCAGTCACGTGAACAGGTTGGGAGGCAGGAGTCGGCTACGCTTAACCCATAGGCCAGGAGGCCATCTATGCAGGCGGAAGCTAGGTAGACTCTGCCTTCTCCCCATTCCACGTCACCCTGGTCCCTCCTGTCCCTGTTCGGCCCTCCATCCCCTTTCAGGGTAGAAGCCATGCTCTGTGGTGAGGTGTGCACCGCCTGTGCTGGCCCCCCCTCCTTCCACCTCATCCCACAGCATCTCCTTCCGTCATCTTCCCCAAACTTAGCACACAGTGTCCTGGCTCCAGGCCTGGACGCATGCTGTTCCCACCACCTGGTGTCCTTGCCCTCCTTTTCCACTGGGCTAACTTCTCTCCATTTTTCAAATCTCAGCCCCCACATTGCCTCCAGGAAGCCTTCCCTGCCACCCCCAGGCTTCCTGATCATCCCCATGTCTCCCTCTGGGCTCCCGCAGCACCTGGTTATTTTCTGGGGGGCAGTTACCACCACAGGCATTGCGTGTGCCATGGTGCCCAGTGTGCCCACAGTACTCAGTCAGGGCCTGGTCCAAGCTGGAAAGCACTTGCTGGATGAAAGAGTGAAGAGCATAGGACTATTTTCAACTGTCACAGAGAACACCTGCCCTGCAGGTGCTGGCAGGGCCAGAAAATCAACTGTGACTCCTCTGCTGTTGCACAAATTCAGCAGCCAGTCCAGGGGGTCATGTCCCAGAGGGTGAGCTTGGGGTGGCACACCTCTCTCATCCCTGTATGACAGGGCTAGCCCCACAGCAAATCCCCCTGAGCTGCTGTCATGTCACACAGCCCTGGCCTGAGCCCCCTGGAACAACCTTTACAAAGCGACTCTGCCTGAGCTGCCTATCTGCCAAGGAGGCTCGATGGGGAGGCAGCAATGCAGGGGGGAGCGTTTCTGTGCCGCTGGTGACCCCTCTCACCAGCCTGTACTTTGACCCTTTTAGAAAGACCCATTGAGCAAATACCTTCTTCTAGCTCAAGAGCTGGGAAAGGACGTTTCCCTGATGTCTGGTGTTTTTAGCAAGCAAATGAGCTCAGTTTCTGCTTTACCTTGACTTCCAGGAAGCTCACAGCAAAGCCCTGTGCTCCGTCACTGCTGCAGCTTCCCCTACCCTGATGTCCCTGAGTTCACAATCCTGCTTGGCTCTTTTACCCGTACACTCATAGATTTTGGTTTTATTCTCTTTAAGTTTTTATTGGTGAGCCATAGACTCATATCCTTTTTTCAGAAGTAGGTGGGGTAATAGTAATTTTTGTTTCTTCTCTGAGACAGGGTCTTGCTCTGTTGCCCAGGCTGGAATGCAGTGGCATGATCACAGCTCTCTGCAGCCATGACCTCCCAGGCTCAAGCAATCCTCCAACCTCAGTCTCCCAAGTAGCTGGGACTACAGGCATGTACCACCATGCCAGCTAATTTTTGTATTTTTTGTAGAAATGGAGTTTCATCATGTTGCCCGGGTTGGTCTCAAATTCCTGGACTCAATCGATCCTCCCGCCTTGGCCTCTCAAAGTGCTGGGATTACAGGTGTGAGCCACTACACCCAGCCATAAACTTTTTAAAGTATACGTTGCCCATACAGGAATTGGTGGAATCTTTGGGGTGCCTAACTCTGGGGCAAGAACAGGGAAGGAGATCCTCAACAGCACAGGATTTAGAGTTGGGACCCAGATCAGCCCCCATTAGACGAGAGTTTCCTGGGAACAGGCCTATTTCCCTGCTGCACCTGGGGCCTCGCCTCTGTGTCTCCTTCGAAGACCTGGTGCTTCCTTACAAGACAACGAGCAGACAGGTCTGCTCCTCAGCACAGCTGTGAAAATCAGATTGTGTAAAGCAAATCCCATTGCAGAGAGCTCCAAAAGCTCACTGAGAAAGTTTAGGAGCTGGACTAGAAAGAATTCCAACCCCGTTCACTCTTTTTTTTTGTAGTCAAAACTGAACCTCTGCACCTGGAGAATGCTTCCAGCCCTGGGCCCCTAGCTGGGGGCGGGAGTGACATCTCAAATGGGTGGTTAGAGCTCAGTTTCCTTGTTTGTAAAGTGAAGGGGCTGGACTGAAAGTTCAGCATGGGCCCTCCTGGCCATGGGCCCTTGAGAGCTGACAGTGGAAGCTTCAGTGTTCCATGATGCTAAAGGTTCAGGATGCAAGGCTGAGGCCCTAGGGTTTGGCCACAGGGAACCAGAGACACCCACTTCCCGGGCTCACACCACCTTTCTTTATTTGTAATGAGTGGGACTTTTTCTCCCCATGGTGGTCCAGGCCCCAGAAGCGGCCCTGCAGTTGCAAGGGGGCAGCCAAGCGTACAGGCTGGACACAGCTCCTTCCATCAGAACTACAGCTCCACAGACCAGCAGGAAATCTCCACTCCCGGGGGCCCCTCCTGGTAATCCAGCCTGCGCTCTCTGAAATGGAAAGACAGACAGACAGAGAGGCATGTGGTCAGCAAATCTCAGGTGTGGTGGGAAAGGAGGGAGTGGTGGGAAAGGAGGGAGACAGTTGGGGACAGGAACATGGAGGGTAGGGAGTCCTGGGGTCCCTCTAGAATTCCCTCCAGCACAGGCGAACGAGGCCCAGTCACCCAGAGCCTGCTCTAGAGAAGTCAGTACGTGTGGTCTCCAGCGTTCAGGGCTCTGGGAGCTCAGGGTGTGGACAGGGAGAGGTTCCTACTGTCCCCAACCAACCCCAGGGATCTCAGGGCCCATGTGCTTTCTGTGGGTCTGAGAAGCCCATCCATCTTTTGTGGGGTCACTGAAAGCTGGCTTAGACACGTCTACAGCATCAACCTTCCACCGGACTGTGTCTAGTTCCTGGGCAAGGACAGGAGTGGGGCCCTGGAGAGCCTGGCTCCTGGCCTCCCAGTCCCCACCCCACCCCAGCCAGGCTCAGTGGTCTGCTTGTGCCAAGTCACCTGGTGGCAGAGTAGTCACTGCCCTGAACCCTCAGCGTGCGCCTACTGTCATCTGACGCTGCTGGAGATCCCCAGAGCACCTCCTGGTAAAACTGGCCTGAGATACAAAGGGTGGGTCAGTAAGGGTGAGAGACAGAGGGAGCCTGGGAGGCGCGTGCAGGGGAGGGCACCGCCTGTTCCCGGGCACAGCTGGTTTCTGAGGAAGGCCAGGCACAGTACCAAGGGACCCGCCAACATGGCTGGAGAAGCGGCCAGTGTCGCGCAGAAGCAGCCGGAGCCCCTCCCCATGGCCATCCCAGGACAACAGGCCGATGGTCACTTTGTCTGGGTCACTGAGCAGCAGGAGGCCCGTCTTGTCCATGGTCATCTTCAGGCTGTGGAAAGACCCAGCGTCTTGAGCGGGAAGGTAGAGACGAGTGCTCAGAGCCTCAGCAGTCAGGGTGGGGAGCGGGCTGGGCTTCCCCTCTTGTCCAGGAAGTCATGGAGTGGCCTTGGGTGGGAAGGCCCTTAAATCTGGGTTTCCGTTTCCTCATTGGTAAAATAGGACCACAGTTAACCTAATGATGTCCGGTTTCCCCAGCACTTCTTTTCTTTCTCTTTTTTGTGGGGGCAGGGACAGGGTCTCACTGTCCCCCAGGCTGCAGTGCAGTGGTGTGATCTCAGCTCACTGCCCCCTGTGCCTCCTCGGCTCAAGTGATTCTCCCACCTCTGCCTCTCAAGTAGCTGGTACTGCAGGTACATGCCACCATGCCCAGCTAATTTTTTTTATTTTTAAGAGACACAGGGTTTCACCATGTTGCCCAGGCTGGTCTCGAACTCCTGAGCTGAAGCAATCTGCCAGCCTCAGCCTCCCAAGGTGCTGGAATTACAGGCGTGAGCCACCGCACTTGGCCTCTGGTTTTCTTAAATTCACTTTCTCATAAATGAGTTTTATATGATTGAAGGAGTTTCTCTGATGCATCCACTCTGTCCCTTTTGTTCTGCAGCTGGTACACTCTCTTTGGATGACTCGTGTTTGATCATGTGTTTAATGTCTAAAGGGTAGGCCTCTTCTCATTCTGTCTTCTCATTTTTTTAGTTGAAATAACCCTTGAAATTCTTGCCTTTTTGGTGTTCTCATGAATGTTAGGTTCCTTTAAGCATGTTGAATAAGATCCTGCTGTTACTCAGAGGTTATTTTAAACAAATTTTCCCTAAATATATACTGTCCTGTTGTTTCAATTCAATCTAAAACATGTGGGTCTTTTTTTTTTTTTTTTTTTTTGAGACAGAGTCTTGCTTTGTCACCCAGGCTGGAGTGCAGTGGCGTGATCTCAGCTCACTGCAACCTCCACCTCCTGGGTTCAAGTGATTCTCCTGCCTCAGCCTCCTGAGTAGCTGGGATTACAGGCATGTGCCGCCACCACACCCGGCTAATTTTTGTATTTTTAGTAGAGACGGGGTTTCGCCATGTTGGCCAAGTTGGTCTCCAATTCCTGACCTGAGGTGATCCACCTGCCTCGGCCTCCCAAAGTGCTGGGATTACAGGCAGGAGCCACTGCGCCTGGCCTATTTTTCTTTTTTCTTTTTTTTTGAGATGGAGTCTCGCTCTGTTGCCCAGGCTTGAATACAGTGGAGTGATCTCCACTCACTGCAAGTTCTGCCCTCCAGGTTCATGCCATTCCCCTGCCCAGCTAATTTTTTTGTATTTTTAGTAGAGACAGGGTTTCACAGTGTTCGCCAGGATGGTCTCAATCTCCTGACCTTGTGATCCTCCTGCCTCAGCCTCCCAAAGTGCTGGGATTATAGGCGTGAGCCACGGCACCCAGCCACCTATTCTTCTTTATGTCTTCTGTAGCTCATGAAAGTATTTGGACACTCTCTCCCCATAATTAATAGGATTTTACTTCTATTTCATTTTCTAGGCATAAAAATGCTATTGATTTTAGTGAATCTACCAGATAGCAAGGAATTTTAGATTTTTTTTTCTTTTTTTTTTTTTTGAGACAGGGTCTTACTCTGTCGCCCAGGCTGGAGTGCAGTGGTATTAACTTAGCTTACTACATCCTCCGTCTCCCAGGTTCAAGCAATTCTCAGCCTCCTGAGTAGCTGGGATTACAGGTGCCCACCACCACACCTGGCTAGTTTTTGTATTTTTAGTAGAGACGGGGTTTCACTATGTTGGCCAGGCTGGTCTCAAACTCCTGGCCTTAAGTGATCCACCCACCTCGGCCTCACAGAGTGTTGGGATTACACTTGTGTTGGGTGGCATGAGCCACCGTGCCTGGTCAACTTTTAGATCTTTTATTTTATTTTTGAGATGGAGTCTCACTCTGCGCCCAGGCTGGAGTGCAATGGCATGATCTCGGCTCACTGCAACCTCCACCTCCCAGGTTCAAGTGATTCTCCTATCTCGGCCTCCCAAGTAGCTAGGATTACAGGTGCATGCTGCCATGCCTGGCTAATTTTTTGTATTTTAGTAGAGATGGGGTTTCACCGTGTTTCCCAGGCTGGTCTCAAACTCCTGAGCTCAGGCAATCCACCCACCTCAGCCTCCCAAAGTGCTGGGATTACAGGCGTGAGCCACCACTCTGGGCCTAGATCTTTTATGAACTTGGGAAGGTTTTTGGGTGAGACCTTGGATTAGCTGGATGTGCACTCATCTGTCAAATGCAAGGGAGTTCCCCAGGAGGGCTGCATGAGGCAGGGCTGGACAAGGCTCTCCACACTTGGAAAAGGGTGAGCTATGACACAGGCCGGGGGTTCGGAGGCCACTGCCCAAGGAGGACCAGGGCCTCAGCCCTTCCCCAAGGCCCCTCGCGATCTGCAAAACTGGAAGACTGTCCCTGGAAGGCCACTGTGAAGCAGTGAGCTCCCCCACCCAGAAGAAGTGGCCTTCTGCCTCCACTATTCACCAGCTGCTCAGTATTTGAGGCCACTGACTTGTGTCTCCTTAGCAAAGCTCCAAGGATACGCTAAAGAGAATGCTGGTAACCTGCTGTCAACAGTGCTCTCTAGCTTCTCACTACTGTCATCAGAATATCACGTCACTACGTAGACAGCACCATGCTGTGGGGTGCCTGGGGGGCACTGCATCATCTGATGGCAAAGTGCCCCCGACTACACTCTCTCACTGGGTTCTCCCCTCAGCCTTCTGACTCTGGGCCAGGATGATGAGTACTGGTTATTAGTGAAGACACTGAGGCTCAGAGGAACTAAGCTGCCTGCCCAGGGTCACAAAGGATGAGCAGCAGAGCTAGCTCCAAACCACACTGTCTCCTGCATGGGATAGCGACCTGGGTTAGGTCCCCAGGACAACTCCTCAGTGCCCTCTGGAACTGCAGGGGTATACGGCAGGGCTCTTGTCTCTTTGCACCTCCTGTGAGTGTAGCCACTCCATTCTTGGGTCCATGGCTTCAGGCCACCTGCTGGTACCATCATCAGCCACTGTAGCCTGAAAGGGCAACCCCTGGCCCCGGGCTCCAGCCTGGGCCTTACCCGGGCATCACTGAGAACAGCGTCTCCTTCCACTTGTACGCAGAGCTCCTTCGGTTCCGAGTTACCACCACGTGTTCAGGGGATGCATGAACCCGGACCGGAGGGTTCTTGAAGGTCACTTCGATCCATGAGAACCCAGCCTTCTCCCTCTCATACTGGCCAGTCACCTCAACCCCTGGGAAGACCAAACCAGAGAGGTCAAAGTTGGGCCCCAGCCAGGGCTGACACCGACCTGCACAGGGAGTCCTCCCTGATCACAGCCCCTGGAGTTTCGCAGCAGCTCCCTCCCTCATCAGGAGGGGCGTCCCTTTCTCAGCACTCCTTCACACTGGGGGCCGGCTCCACAATCTCTCCACTCACCCCTGGTGTCTATGGCTTTGGAGGGGCCCCTAAATCCTCAGCGATGGCCACCCTCAGATGAGGCCTTTGAGAATTAACTTGTCTCCAGTCCACAAGCCTTCAGAACGGCCTATGGAGCGCCTGGCCCTGAGCTAGATGCTGCAGCCAAGGGTAAGATGGAGAATCGGTGCTGCCTGCCCTCAGGAAAGACACTCCCAGGGCTGAGTGAGGAAGTGGGAGACCACATGCATCTGAGGAATGAGAAAGCCGTGGATGTCCTTTGGCTTTGAGCGGGGCTGGGCGGAGTGGGGGTGAGCATCGCTGAGTGGAGTGTGTCTCCATGTCTGGTTCAGGATTGAAGGGGCGGGGCCCAGCCAGCACCCCTGTCTCTTCCTGCCATTCTCATCCACACCCTCTAGGGTCTCATCTTTTGGGGCTCTGTATCTGCAGGCACTAACTCCTCCATCTGGAACATCCTCATGCTGGTCTCTGTGTGCCTGCCAGGGCCCTGCCATCCCTATGCGACCCCAGGAAGCTCCCTGGACCCTTGCCCCACCCTTGCTCCTCCTCTAGGCTCACCTCCACATGGCTGCCATGCTTATCTGTGCCTAGGCCACCCACACCTGCACACAAGGTGCCCAGCGGAAGGTCCCTGGGGTGGCTGTGTGAGTGTGTGCCCATGCCGGGGCTTGGAGGCAGGACCATGCTATGATCTGGGAGGGGCCTGCGTGAGGCCAGCCTGCACGCACTGTGTGTGTCTCTGTGGGCAGGTGGTGGGTGTGTGTCATGGTGTCTGGGTCTCTCTGGGTGTGCCCCCTCTCACCTTGCTCAGGGTCTGAGAGCAGGTTCATTGGCCCCTGGTGATGTCTGGGGTCCACACAGAGCTGCTCCACGCTTTGCCCAGGCAGTGGCAGGATGGCGGAGGGAGCCTGTATGGGGGCTGGGACAGCCGGGGCACGGCTCCTGGAGCAGGAAGGGCAGGCTAGGGGCAAGGATGTGGAAGGGGGCCCAGGGGGCTGGGAACTTACCTGGGGTTTGGGCTGTCACGGTTGCTTCTAAAAGAAGAAAAAGTCTGGGTTTAGGCAGCCCCTTCCTGAGGAGTGGGAGGTTGAGGGAAGGAGTAGTGACTAGGTGTGGCCGGGTTCCCTCTCTACTTCAACATCAAGACGCTCACGTGACAGGTCACTCCCCTCCCAGGATCCCCCTGTTAGGACAGGGCCTCTGGTCTTGGGGGCACCTTTGATTTTGGTATTCGTGACATGAGACACAGCTGGATCAGGATTTGAGGTGGCTGGTGGTGCTGAAGCAGGCATCAGGGCAGGAACATCAGGAACAGAAAGGGAGCAGGGAGACCGTCAGGAGGCGAGCAACCAGTGGCACAGCCACCGCCGCCACCAAGCTGCAGCCCCCATCCTGCCACACATACGCTCCACCTAGAATGGCCTTTGTCATGGGAGATTTTCAAACAGAAGAGCATGCTGTCAGGGATAGGTCCAGCCTGGCTCTGCAGCTGTGTTCGAGTGCAGATTTGGGGATCAGAAACTGTTCAAGGGACCTCTGTTGACTTTCTGAACGGAGGAAGCCCTCCCTTCCTAGAAGATTTCCTCATGAGTCAGCCTCTAGAGTATAGTGGATCCTACTCAGTGAAAGTAAAGGACAGGTGAAGTCCTGCCTTGGGGAGGGGAGGCCTGATGTCCGTACAAGGGGTAGTGGGGAGAGGGGCCTTCAGAGGGAAGAAGCTGGCAAGGACTGCTCCAAAGAGCGCTGTGACGTGCACACTTGGCCAGTCCCTGCCCCTCTTAGGGCCTAGGGTCCCCTCTGAACAAGGAGTGTGGGAGAGGCTGCTCTGTCACAGCCTGTGATCTGACAACCTCAGGGCAGCTGAAGGACCTGGGAGAGCTCACACCTGAGATGAGACGCTGAGGACTGGGCGTGGGGCAGCTGCAGAGAGCTGGGAAGGTGAGGACAGCCTCCTTAGGAAATGCACTGCCCCCCCAGCCCCAGTAAATGATCCCAGGTTGAACTGACCCACAATTACTTCACATCGTGCCCTCGTCAGCCATCCCTGGCCTGGCCTGCAGTGCGTGCTTTACCCCCACCCCCTCTGTGGGGCAGGCTCAAGGACCACCATGAGGAAACTGAGGCCCTCACAGGACTGGAAGGCGGCTTACAGATGGCCAGACGGCGGAAGGGATGGAGAGCAGCACGGTCAGGAGCATCAGGAGGTCCTGGGGGTCCAAGTTGCCCCGAGCTGAGAACCCCGGGTCCGAAATTCAGCAGGGAGCCAGCAGCTCCAACTTTGGAGAAGTTGACAGATGCAGTCTTGTCTGAGGTGGGGTGTGGGTCCTCACAGTCAGGGCTTCAGATCCACCCACGAGTGGGTGCGGAGAGGGCAACTACGTCCCCTCTCCCCACACCCGGCCAACTCAGGAGCCTCTCCCCCCACAGCTGGGAGATAATCAATGCTGGAACAACAATGGACCCCCCTCAAACTCCGCCCCCCCGGGGATGTGGCAGAACCCCTCAAACTACCTTGTCTACTCAATCCTCTTCTTGGAGAAAAGGAAGCCTCTGTGTGGTCAAGTCCTAATCAGATACAACTGAACTGAGGCCCGAGGGCTGTCACCAGCCAGAGGAGCTGGGCAAGGCACTCCCCTCCATAGCCAGGACCGAGCCCAATCTGTCAATCTCCCCTCCCCCCACCTCCTACTTTGTCACCTGGTTTTGGCATTTTTGCTCCCTGGAGATAATATCTGAAGAAAGTGGAACCTGGAAATCAGTGGGACCTGGGTTTGCATCTTGCACCCACCTTCCTGTGGCCCCACTTGGATGGGGACTGTATTCCCAGTGCTGGGGACAGGGCCGGAGGAGCAGCCAATATTTGAATGCACAGGTGACTAAATGCACCAGCGTGCTGGGTCAGACTATGCTGCCTCCTGGCAGCAGGGCTGGGCTGGAGAGGCCTGGGCGGACCTGGGCCCTGGCCAGTAACCTCACAGGGCTGGCGCCCTGGACGCTGTGTTAGCAGACCACCACCCAGCACAGCCTTTGAGGAGGTTCGCTGCTTACCTGAGTGGACGTTCCTGTTTCTACTTTCTGGATAAAACAAAGAGAGAGAGAGAGAGACAGACAGACAGACAGAGACACAGACAGACAGAGACACAGACAGACACTGTCAGGGTGGTTTTCATCAATTCAAAGCGCTTGTGTTTTATCTTGCTACCCAATCCTGGACTATATCGTAGGTGCAATGAATTTGGGGAGATAGGAGACCCGGCTTCACTTTCCTCATCAGTGAATAGGCTGAATCTCCAGGGGGAGTCTGTTGGGGGCACGGTTGGGGTCTTGGTCAGGATGCAGGGAAGAGTCGGGAGAATGCTGGGTCCAAACTCTGCTACCTGGGAGGCTGAGATCTCAACCCCACACCCACCGCCTTCCACGGGCTTCTCAGCAACTTGAGACTGCTCTTGGTCTTCGGGTTTGGTGACTACCATAGATGTGAGAGGTGTGACAAAGCTGTAGGCAAGCGATAAATTCAGCGCTCGGGTCCGGAGGGCCTGCTGATCAGCGTCAGATGCGGAGACACTGTAGGTGAAGGACATCAGAACTCAGGAGGTCCCTGAATTCGGGAACAGATTTTCCATCCAGCCCCTTCTAGGGAGGTCCCTCTGGGAGAATCTGGAGCTTGGACATGATACCAAGACCCCCCCCCTCTCCATGCTTAGGTGCTGTCCCGTGCCACCGGTGCCTGCCCCCTACCGACAGGCTTAGGGAGGTGCTGATGCACTCACGTCTGCTCCAGCAGCTGCTGGATAGTCAGGTATGCCCAGAGCCTCTCCATGAAGTTGTGGAAGATATACTTGGGGCTCTGGAACTCCGCTTCCTGCTCTGCCACGCTGGACTCGGTTTGAAAAGTGATGTCCTGCGTAGGCTGGAAAGAGGGGCCCAGCCAGGGCAGGAACAGTGAGGGCCGGACATCTGCATCTGGCCTGCCACTTCCGAGCTCTTCTATGATTGGAGCTGGGGCAGGCCCCACACACTGACTGTGGGGACTGCATTTCCTTTGAGTGGGGGTAAGGAGGGGGCTTAGGGGTGCAAGGGGCTCAGTCACAGAGCATACAGGGATGAGACGGAGGTGAAGATAAAAGGTAACAAAGTAGCCCAGGTACAACAAGGCAGGCACGGCGCCAGGACTCAGATCAGCCAAACCTCTGGAAGAAAGGGATGGGAACCTCAGGCCAGTGTAGAAACAGCAGCAGGAAGGATTTGCAAGTGAAGTGTGGAGCAGGAAGGGTCCCTAGCTACAGCCTGCCCTTACCCCAAAGGTGGGGGAAAGGGACAGGGAGGGAAGGACCTTCCCGGGGCTCAGAGGCAGAGTTGAGAACAGAAGGCAGATGTCGTGGCTCTGGGTCTGGGGCTCCATCCACCCCAACGGCTGTTCCTGTGGAAGCAGGCCCCTCTGCGGCTGGCCACTGTGGGACCATGACAGGGAAGCGTGCACCCAAGCTCTGTGTGAACCCGCTCCCTCCTCCCTCAGGGAGGGGCCTGTGGTCTCAGACTGACCCAGCTCGCTGCCTGGGAAATGGGCTTCTAAGGCAGAGGAATCCCAGGCCTCTCCCACCAGAGCTCGCCGAGTGGTCAGGAGACCTTTTCACAATGTGGATCAGACCTGTGCCTCTACTCCCACTGGAACAGCCTGTCTCTCACCCTGGCTGGCTTTCCACAGCTTCAGCACACACAGGCCACCTGCATGGATTTTGCCCCATCCACACATACAGCTACTTAATTGATATTTTTCCTTAAATGAACTTTAAGTAGGCTAACAATTTTTACTTGGCTTTATACCCATAAAATCTTGGATCGGGGCCAGGCGCAGTGGCTCACGCCTGTAATCCCAGCACTCTGGGAGACCAAGGTGGGGGGATCACGAGGTCAGGAGATTGAGACCATCCTGGCTAACATGGTGAAGCCCCGTCTCTACTAAAAATACAAAAAAAAAATTAGCCGGGCGAGGTGGCGGGCACCTGTAGTCCCAGCTACTCGGGAGGCTGAGGCAGGAGAATGGCATAAACACGGGAGGTGGAGCTTGCAGTGAGCCGAGATCGCACCACCACACTCCAGCCTGGGTGACAGAGCGAGCCTCTGTCTCAAAGAAAAAAAAAACAAAAAACAAACAACAAAACTTAGGTCTGAGGTTCAGGTCATATTTTTCAGAATACACATTAAAATAAGTAAATAACTACTAAAACAAAGCCATGTCTGTCTGTGAACTCCCCGGAATCACCTTGGGTTCTGCACTGTGGGAATCCACGGCCTCCAATCTAAATGAGCTGCTGACATGTATGGTGTGCTTACACTGGACATCAATCACAGTGGCTTTCTGAGGGGGGCAGTGACTTATTCCCATGTTTACATAGGAGGAAACTGCGGTACATGGAGATTAAGTGACTTCTCCATGTCTCCCATCTGGGAGGTGGCAGAGCTGGGTTTGAAGCCAGGCAGGGTGGCCACACAGCCTGTACCAACAGTCATGACACTTGGGGACTTGTCCTGAGACAAGGCCATGGGCCCCCAACGCCCACTGCTATTCTCTTCACACTCGCTGCCCTCATGCCACAGGGGCCTAACATATTCCTCCATTGCCCCATCTGGACTCTTCCCACCTCCTACTTATCCCTTAGTCTCTGCTGGGCTTCCTCCAGAAAACCGTCCCTGATCCCCAGGCCAGGCTGGGGCTCCTAGTGCTGCTCCCCTGCGTCCGGGGTTAGATCCCAGCCTGTAGCTTGTTTGTGTGATGACACGTCCTTGGGCTGTCTCTCCTATGAGGGCACGGAGGGGTCAACCTCGTTCACCGCTGCACCCCAGGGGCTGAAGAAGGCCCTGCCGCAGGGCTGGTGCTCAGTTTCTCTTTGTGGAATGACAGGGGGTCCCTGGAAGGAGGCAGGGAAGGCTGGGCAAGGACAGGGTGCCACGTAGCAAGCTGGGCTCTTGGCCCGGTTGCAGTGGGGCCCAGGGCAAGCTGTCTGCCCTGCCTGGAGCTCAGTCTGCTCATCTGTGAAATAGGAGCAGCCCTCCCCTGTCCACCTGCAACCTGAGAGGGCTGGTACCAGGACAGGAGGGGATGATAACTAGGGAGGAATCCCTGCCCTCACCTGTGCTCACAGGTGCACACACCCGTTGCTGAGGGCCTGTATGTGCTGGGCACAGCACAGGTGGTCTCATGAGAATCACTCCGTTTTCTCATTGAATCCTTGCCATGCCCTGTGTCATCCACAGGCAGCAGAGGGGAAAGCTGGAGCGGGGCAGGTCTGGAACTGGAGCCCAGCCCCTTCGGATGCAGAGGTGGAGGCTGCCCTTCCCCTCCAGGGTGGCTTTGGCCACACTCACCAGCTTCCCACTGACTGTGGCTGTGAGCACATCAGGCCCCTGGGCCTGGAGCTTCCCAGCCACCACCATCTCTGAGCCCTTGAAGAGGAGCCGGAAGTTGTTCTGAGTGATCTCCTCCACGGCATTGCTTGGGTACTCGAAGGTCACTGCTGTCAGCAGTGGGTTGGCCACTTCCTGGTAGAAGTCCTGCAGAGTTGGGGGTGTCATAAAGGCCAGGCTGGGTCTGCCCACTTCTCTGTGCAGCCCACCTGGGGCATGCTGGCACCTGGAGCTGCAGGGCAGAGTCCGAGTCCTCATGGATGCGCCGGGCCAGGCCACCGTTGTCCAGTGCCAGCTTCTCTAGGAAGGCATAGCTGACGTCGAAGCCGAAGCCCAAGCAGAAGAGGCTGTACCGGCCACTTACAGCTTCCCGCACATTTTTCTGGATGCTCCTGGGGTTAGTCTCCCCTGGACCCAGGGGTTTGGGATGAGGGTGAGAAAACAGTGATTTGCTCGATGAATAGTTCTGGAACCTCAGAGCCGAGGGGCCTCAGTGACCCCCTCTCCCTGCCCAGGTCCCACAGCAAGCCCAGGTGCAGCCCCAGCCGCCTCCCCATGCAGCGTGTCCTGGAGTCGCAGGCAGGGCCCTCACCCACGGTGGGGTCGCCATCGGTGAGCAGGATGATGAGCGAGACGCTCCCGTCGGGCAGCCGCTCCTCCTGGTTGCTGTTGTCCAGCAACTGCACAGCCACCAGCATCGCATCATTGATGTTGGTCCCTGAGGAGCACACACTCTCAAGGTGGCCCCCAGCCACGAGCCCTGGAAGCCCCCACCCTGCAGGGCCACAGAAGAACTTACCTCCCAGGGCCTGGATGCCGGCAGCGAAGCTCCTGGCCTCGTTCACGTTCTCAGCTGAGGCTGGCACCAGTGATGGCCTCCACTGAGTTGCTTCTGTACTGAAGACGATGAGGTTGAACTGGTCTCTGGGGCTGAGGTCATCCAGGATCTTGATTAGGGCTTCCCGGGTCTGGTCAGGGAGAGGGAACACTGCTTCAGAAGGGCTCCCTGAGGGCTCGTGTGCCCTTGGGCTGGCATCCTTGGACTCCTGTCTCAGGCGTGAGGTCATGGTATCGGCTCTAGGAACAGGGGCTGCCCTAGGCTCTGGCCAACCTTGGCTCCTGAGAGCCACCCACCCCACGGCGCCAAAAGGTGAAGGAAGGGGGTCTGCCTGTCAGACCACGGCTGATAGCGTGAAGGGCCTGGGAGTTCTCAGGGCCCTGTTCTGGGCCACAGGACCTACCTGTTGGATTTTCCTGCCACTCATGGAGCCGCTCTTGTCAATGACAAAGACCACATTCTTGGGCATTGTGGTTAGGCCCTCGGGGGCAAAGTAGTGTACAAAGTAGCCATTCTCGATCTGTGACCAGAGTAAGACCCACCCAGGCCATCAGGGCTAATATCGTGCCCTATCCCCATTCAGCCCCCTTACCCCAAATTCTTGGGTTTCTGTGCTCTGTTCCAATCCCATTTCCATCCCACTGCTAACCTCCCCAAAACCTTGCCCTCTTTCAGGGCTCAGACCAGCCCCTTTCTTGCAGAAGCCTTCCCTGCTCATGCATAGCCTACTAGAACTCTCCCTGCAACTTTTCCTTCTATTTGTTTTAGCATTTCAGATGGCTTATACTAAAAAGTTCAGACATCATAAACCTGACAACCATGAAAAGACGGAAGACTTCAAAACCATGAAGTAAAAGGGAATTATAATAACAATGGCAGAAATGGCTGGGCGTGGTGAATCACGCCTGTAATTCCAGCACTTTGGGAGGCTTAGGGGGAGGATCACTTGAGCCCAGGAATTCAACACCAGCCCGGGCAACCTTGTCTCTATCGAAAAAAAAAAAAAAAATTAGCCAGGTGTGGTGTTGCATGCCTGTAGTCCCAGCTACTAGGGAGGCTGAGGCAGGAGGATCTTTTGAACCTGGGAGTTTGAAGGTGCAGTGAGCCATGATCGCACCAAAATACAACAACAATAATAATGCCAGAAACAAGTGTGAAAGAAACTACTGCAAATGTGCGTAAAACTGAGTTGTGAGCCTCCCAGCAGCAGAGGCAAAGAGGGAAACCCCACAGGGCAGATCTTCTCAGAGACAAACCTTTTCTGCCTGGGAAAGGGAATGGTTTCAGGGACAACACAACTAAATCACGTGTTTTCTGTCTGTGCCGGTCCCTGGTGCACACTGCCAAGTAAGGGTGGTTCTTTTCCTCTTCTAAAACACCCAAGCTCAGGCCCTTGCAGGTGGACAGACCTCCAGGCTGCTCTGCTCTTGCCTGGAGTCCACCCACCTGAATGGTGCCCCCGGAGACGGCCCGGTCCACATCATAGCGGATGATGAGGTGGCCGTCCAGGACTGTTTCTTGCTGCTCTGGGGACTTTTGCTGCTGGGAGAGCGTTGGCTTGAACTGGATGTGAGCCTGGAGGAATAATCTGGGCTGAAGTTGGGAGGAACAGCAAAGCCAGGCCAACACCACCCTCTACCCAGTCCATATATTGGGAAATGAGAATTCCAGGATGTAGCCTTGGGTCCGTATTCCAGGGCACCTCCTTTCAGGCTGCGTTATTGATGGGCCGCTTTCACATACGGGAGGGGTGTGATGAGCGCCCTGTTCCTGGAGTTGTGCAAGCAGAGGCTGTTCCAGGATATGTGCAGTCCCACCATCTCCTCCTCTCCACTTGGCCCCAGGACCCTCACATCAGTCTATTCTCCAACCCCTTCCCAGACAGATCTCAGGGCTCATACGAGGACACCACAGTCCTCTAGGCTTTGCCCTTCCCATCTGCCAAATGACAGCAAGGACACAGAGATCTCAAGAGCCTCTCCAGCTCACACCTCACTGGACGGAGAGCCCATCCAGCTCTCTGGAAATCCAGGCTTATAGGGCTGGCCTGAAGGCAGGGTCCTTGGTACCCTTGCCTGCTGACCACAACAGACCCACCTTGGTCTTATTCTGCGAGGTGGTGAGGGCGTCTACCAGTTGGTTGGTCATGAAGGTGCTCTCTGTCTCCAGGAAGCTGATGCCCTGGGGCTCGAAGATATGAATGTCCATCTGGAGGCAAGATGTGGGTCCCTGGGTCAGCCAGGAGCCTGGGCCGGGGCTCACACGAGGCCCAGGGGCAAAGAGGGGCCGTCCTCAGTAGGGCAAGGGTCATGCAGGAGGCCTCCCTGGAAGAGGCAGCAGCAGGTACCTGCAGATGCTTGACCAGCTGCTGGGGCCGCACTTTCAGCAGCAGCTCATACACCCCCAGACATCGCTTGAGCAGTTCCTCATAGACCAGCTCAAAGGTGATCTTGGCATTGGGAGCCACACTGACTGACACCTGGAACTGCTCCATGTTTCTCCCGGTGGCCCTGGGGGAAAAGGGCATCAGGCCTGCCCCTCCAGGACAGGTGGGGTAAGGCTGGTGGAGGTGGGGGCAGGGTTAAGGGCCAAAGGCAGGGTGGCCTATGTTTAGACCCTCTCCGCTGAAGCTGCCCCCTGCCAGCTCACTTGACAAGTCCAGCGTTCTTTCCCTTGGCCACTGCTGCGCTGTACTGCGCCTGGGCTTTGGCCTTCTCCTTGATGATCCCTGGGTAGGTCACGCCATCGATGATCCTGGGGGCAGAAGGGTGGGAGTTGTTGAGAGCCTGGTGTGAGGGTTCCATTCCACTCCTGCCTCCTCCAGAGAGCCTTTCTGGACTTGGTGTGCCTCTTGACACAGTGACTCCCATCTTTGCCTGAGCCCGGGGCCATTTATTATGCACCTACTGCATACAAGACTCTGCACAGGGCACTCTGCAAAGTGCGCCAGGCCTCTAGCTCCCAGAGGTGTGTACGGTAACAGTAAGCATTCATTTTATAGACGGGATGAAGGGAAGGCTGCAGAGGGGCAGGGCCGGGCTAAGTCCTGCCTTCTCTCCACCTGTCCAGTCTGGCCCAACTGGCCCACATTCCCACCTGCCCCTTCCACTTCACGGACCATTCCAGGGAACCAGTTCATCACCAGCAAGAGCTCTCCGAGCCACACTTGTTCCCAGCCCTGCGTGCAGCCATGTGGGGCCAGGACTGAGGAGGAAGGACACGCAGGGCTGGAGGCTCTGAGCCCTTTCCGCCTACAGCAGTCTCCCTCTTCCCTCCCATAAGAGGCAGGCACCCTGCAGGTAGGCTGGCATATCTGGAGGGAGGTTTTGGACAACTAGTGGATGGGATTCCTGAGTGTGTGGACACACTCCTAGCAGCCATCCTTCGGGGGCTGAGAAAGAATGGCCCAGGACATTTCTCAGGGAGGAAAATGACTTCTCCAGAGCCTCCTTGTGGGGTAAGTAGGGATGTGCCTGGTCAACTTCACCTGCTCTATCTGTGGGTGGTATGGAAGTGTGGGAGTGTGTGGCAGTGGGCAGAAGGGGGAGCAGCCAGGATGTCAGGACTATGCGTCCCTCCTGCCTGATCTTCCTGGTTATAATTTAACTCCAGCCCCAGATGGGGGTGGTGAGTGGGCAGCGGCGCTTCTCCTCCTGGGTAGGCAGTGCTTGATCTCTCCAGATGCCCAGCTGGGGCTCCCAGCCAGGTCAGGGAGCAGTGAACCTGCCCTCTGCTCCCCTAACTCATGCAGCAACAGGATCTGGGTCCAGAGAATGCAAGTGACAGTCCTGGGCTCTCAGCAGATGCAACGGGCCTGGACCTGGCAACTGCTGACCCTGGCATCCATGTCGAAGGCTGACACGGCCCCTAGGGCTTGCACTGCAAGCTGGGCAGCATAGGCCCGGGCTCTGGGTTAGGAAAAGTAGGGGCTGCTGTGGAGTGAGGGGTGCGTGGGGCCTGAGGGAGGAGACCAGCCCCCACTGCAGTTTTCCAGAGGCCCCAGTGTGGACTCTGCATGAGAGACACTCCCTCTCTGCCCCACGATCGCCTTCTCTGTTTCTGGGAAAAGCCTTACTCTTGTCCTAAATCACAGCTTTTCCTGGCAGCAAGGGACAGACAGCATCCTGGTGCATTTAGTAAACATTACAAAACTGAGTTGGGAAGGGTAGGGGAGGGTGGCAGAGGACAAAGTAAGGACCATCACTGGCTCACAGAGTTCAGAGAAACCTCAGGCATCTCTCATGCAGCCTGAGCAAAAATGTCCTCTGCAGGATCCCAGCTTGGGGCATAACTAGGAGAATCCTCCTCAAGCCACTCTCCACTGTGGGGAAGCCAAGGATCTAGGAGGTTTTCTGTACTTTGAGCTGGAATGTGCATCTCGGTGACTCCCTCTTGCCTGGTGTGGCCTCAGGAGGCCTCAAGTCTGTGCTCCTCAAAGGCAAAGCCACAAAGATGCTGTGGTTCTCTGCCTGCCACCTGGACAACACTTAGGGATGATGAATGGCTGGATAGAGGGAAGGACGCGGGCATCTTTGAGAACAAGTCCCTGTTCCCTGTGTGCCCCCCAGGTGCAGGGTGTACTCCTGAAGATGTACACCCTGGCATGCCTCACTTCAAGAAGAGGGTTTGCTGGCACAGAGCAGATGGAGTCATAGCACTGGGGGGTGTGGAGAGGGGAGGAAGGTGGGAAGACACCTACATGGAGAAGTTGGTGATGAAGGCTTTCTTGGGCAGCTCCATCTGGAAGGTGGCCTCCTGCACAGTACTGGCCCTATTGACCACTCGGCTGGTGACGACCGTGTGGGCAAATCGGGACGAGACCCTGGAGTCCACGGTGAGGCTGTAGATGTCGATATCATTCTGGACCAGCAAAGAAGAAGGGGAGTTGCAGGGTTTCAATGCCACCTCAGCTCAGGGTGACACTCTTCAAGAGTTGGCCCTGACTCTGGCTCCAGACCAAACCCTGGCCCCCAGTCTGACTAAGCCACTGACCAGGCCTCAGGCTGAACCCAGTGAGGCATCTCCTATGTGAACATTTGTCTCAGGTAAGAGGTAGCTGTGTGCTTCATTCTCCACCCTATGGCACCACAGGGCAGGGGTCACGTCCTTCTTGATCTATGGGGGCCCAGAGCGCCCCTCGGAGAAGAACAAGCATGCAGGGAGTAGAGCTGGTGCAGCCGGGGCCAGTGTCTGGGAGGGCATCACACACAGCCTTTGGCAGGGGTGAGAGCCCTGGTGGGGTCAGGGAGCTTTGCACGCTGGCTTAGCTTTGCTCAGAAAAAGGGCAGTGACCAGGTCCTTTGATTTCTGGAGACTTTGGCCTCTGTGGCAACAGGAAAGCTCCCACCAGTCTCCTACCAGGAAGCCCTGGGAGCTGGGAGAATTCGGAGGTAGACCAGAGTCTGGTCTCTAAGAGTCGGGAATCTTCCTCTCTGCTCCACAGTGGGCCCTCCCCAACTCACCCCCTCTTCCGCAGGGCACTCCCTAGCATGTGCCATTTGCCTTGAGGCTTGTGTCCCCCGAGGAGGGGCACGCGGGCACCTCTTACCTGCTTGTGTGCGACATGCTTACGCGCACCAGCTCTGCTCGGCTGCATGCGGCTGCCTGAATGCAGTTTGGCACAGAGGTGCCAAGTGGCTTGTTTATGCGCTTGGGTATTTGCTCTGCGACAGGCACTGTCTTAAGCACTTAATAGATACAACGGGTTTGGTTTTCACAACCACTACCCTCTGAATAGGTTCTAGTATTACCCTGTTTTACAGATGAGGAGACTGAGACATAGACAGAATAAATCACTCCCCTGAGGTCACTTACTAGAAAGTGGTAGAACCAGGCTCGTAAAACTGTATTTCCTCATTTGCAAAATGGAAGCGATTGGATCATCCCCTCTATTAGGTGGGAGAATACCAGTAAGGCCCTTGAGGTAGTGCCTGGAGGGAGGTCTGCACTATTTTTTGGCACACACACTGATGCACACGCACTTGCGCTGGACATGCTCGCACATGCGGAGGCTCTTCCCCACTTCCCAGGCGTTCTCTCATCCCCCAGCTCACGCCACACCCGTGGACACTGGCTACCTTTTGGGCGGTGGTGGTCTGGTGGATGGCCAGCAGTGAAAGCAGGACCAGAACTCTGCTGCAGGTATGGACAGGCCCTGGGGGCTTCATCGTGGCTCCAGTGTCTGCCAGGAGGCTTCTGAACTTGAGAGCAAGTGGGGAATGGATTAGTAATTTGTTTGCTGCCCCACCCACATGGGGGCAGGTTCTGGGAAATTGGGATCTACAAGCCAAAAACCACAGTGGCCTCAGATAAGCAAATGACGAATGTCCCGTGGACCTTGACTGGGGGCAGGAATGTATACTAAAGAAAGGTATGCTCAGGTTGGAGTGGGGAAGGTGCCCCTTCTGAAAGGTGCGAAACCTTCACCAGGACCCTTCACACCAGGCATTCCACCAAGCTCCACAGGGCTGGGAGGGAACTGACAGTGAAGATGTCAGTCTGCTCTCTGTTAAGTCCAGCCTGGGGAGAAACGGGGATGGTGGGGAAGACTAGGGCTACAGGGCTACCCTAGTGGCTTCCTGGAGGAGGGGGGCTTGGCCACCAGGTAAGTGTGACTGGCTGATGGGAGGGCCCAAAGGCATGGAGTGATGCTGGGAGGTGTCTGTGTGGGGCAAGATCTAGAGTCAGGACAGATACGCCGTATTTCTGAAGTGAGAGGTGCTGGCACGGGGCGCCTCCTTCTCTCTCCTGAGGTCCCAGGCTGCTGTTTGGGTGCCATTAATCTAGCCAGGGCTTTAGGTTCAACCCCAGCAAGGCTCCCAAAACAAGAATGGCAATTAGGCAATACAAGTGAGTCATAAAGCTGCCACATCCTGTGGCCCAGAGGTCTCCACGTGGGGAGTTTATTGACAGGAGAGCATGGAACAGAAGACAGAGCTGATAGTGCCAGCAGCTCCGAGGGGTGACTGGGGTGGCGTCCGGTGGAGCGAAGGGAGCCCAGGAATTGCTGGTTGAGAGAGGGCAGAATGCCATGGTCGTGAGCAGTGTGACGCTGCCGCAGCCCAGACTCAGGGGAGTGCTGCCCAAGGGCCTGGGGTGGGTCCCGGCTTTACTAAAGTTGAAGCACTCTGTGCCTTGTAAAGTGGGATTGAGTGAGAACATACTATGCGCTCTGGGCGCTGCTGGGGTTAGCGTTCCCTGGTGGCTCTGCAGAAGCCAGCTCCTGAATCTGTGTCCACACATGGGTAAAGATGAGTCATAAAAATGTGGCCAGGTGCCAAGTCCTGGATCGGGGAAGGACGGCTCCGTGACACCAGCTCTGAGGGGGCCAGCTGCCTTGGGAACCTATGGGGGGTCTTGGGGCAGCCAGCGGCTTCCAGAGGCTGGGGAGGGTTTTCTCTACCAGTCCTGTCTCCATGAAAGGTGGTGGCAGGCCTGGGGCAAGGGTGCCATAGACTGGAGCTATTTCTACAGCTGCAGAGACGACGCTCCCCTTCCTCAGCATGACTGGCCAGAAGCCTCGTCTCTGCGCACGTCTCCATTGCTCACCTTTTTGGCTCTGGATATGATTGGGATTACACAGGGGAACACACTCCTTTCAGTGTCTGGGGGAAGAGTCTCCCCATGGGGTCCAGCAAGTAGGACCAGGCCCTTCCTCACAGCAGGTCTGCTCCCTTGGGGCACAGAGCACAGGCCCAGCCCGGACCCAGGGCTATATTCGGAGGCCAGGCTGGCCGGGACTGTGGGAAAGGTTCTGGGCAGCCAGAACCTCCTGGGGCAGGAGGGCATCCCTAGCAGACGTCAGCCCTGAGCCAGGCACCACAAGCCCAGGCTCTGCCAGTCCAGCTCCGAAAGGAGCCACTGTCAGCCTGTCCATGGTCATAGTCTTGCCATCAAAACAGGACAGGCCTCTATGGGTCTTCTGAACCTGGCAGTTCCAGGCACATGGGGGACAGAGGACTGCAGAGGGAAGGGTCATGCAGGCTGAGAATCTGGTGTTCCTATGCCCCAGGCAGCCTGGTTGGAGCAGACTGTGGGAGGCTTATCCCCGCTGTTTGGAAGAGACAGTAGCTCAGGACACTGACTGCCAGAGAGGAATCTCAATCTGGCTTTGCCTTGGAGGGGACAAAACCTGGCAAGGTGGCAGTGTGAACCAAAGTGCAGGGAGAGGGGTTTGGAGGTCCCCAGGTGCTGCAGAGCCTGCCGGCCCTCAGAGGCTTCTCAGCAGCTTCTGTGGAGGGCAGGGGGAGAGGTGGTCTCTGAGACCCCACCCACTTCACTCTGGGCAGTGTCATCACGGCCTGCTTTATGGAATAGGCTCCAGCTCAACTCCCCTGTAGTACAAAAGGGGTAACTGAGGCTCAGAAGAGTCTGAAGTCACAGGTCAGCACCGGGTCTCCATGTCCAAGGCAGCATGTGGCAGTGGCCATCATAGCACCTGTGCTATCCCCTGGGATCCTCCCAAATGGACATGTTCCATGTTCCCACCCTGTCCTCCCTCAATAGTGGCCAAAGCCAGGGACCAGCCAACACCTTCCGACCGCCGGGGCCACACGGGCATCCTCTTTATTGGTGCTTCCAAGGTGCTGGTGTGGAGCCCTTGGTCGAAGGGCCAGGACTGTGGGGGAGGGTGGCAGCCCCAGAGACAGCAGGGGCGAGGAAGTGCTCTGGCATAAAAAAGAGTTCCTGGGAAAGGCTCCTGTTTCTGAGCATTCGGGCAGCAAGGGGAGTGGTGCGCACTTCTCAGCCGAAGACACTCTTGGCGGGTCCGGCTTTGGGCTTCTCAAAGACAGTCTCGGTGCCTGTGCGGGTGCGGCTGAACACCGAGGGGGCGGCCGAGCCAGCTTGCTCTGTGGGAGGAGGCAAAGTCAGGGGCCAGCCTGGCTTCCCGGGAGGGAAGGTCCCTTATGATGGGTGCACCCTTTCCTGAGTCCAGGAATACTGGATTCTCAGAAAAGGATCCTTGACCACCTCTCCCCACCAGACACACACCTGCACCCCCACCCCCAGCCCCAGATGGCGTGAGGACACTCACCACACTCCCGCATGACCTGGTAGGTCTTGGACTTGATTTCTTGGTTCTTGGTCAGGTTTCCTCGGGCCCCCTTCAGGTCCTCCTCCTTCACAGGGGGACGCTTCTTCTTGATAGGGGCTTCCTGAGCACCAGCCTTGGAGATCCAAGAGCCTTATCTTACTACCCGAAGTCTCGAGGCGGGGACACCTACCTCTGTGCCTTGGCCCAAACCCCTCTTCTCTGTTCACTAAACCCAAGCCTATTCAAGGCTCTACTCCTCTTCCACAGAAAGCCTTCCCAACTATGCTCCACCTGCTGCAGGTCTCCCAGCTGTCTTGGTCTGACTTGCCCATGTGCCCTTCCCCTATAGCCTGGGAGCTCTTGGGAGCAGTGGCTGCTGCAGCCTCATACTGGTGTGTCTGTCTGCCTGGCCAAGCTCAGGGCTGGGCACAGTGGGGAACGGTGAAGGGGACTATCTCTGAGGTTGGGCAATACTAGGGCATTTGGTTAGTTCCAAAACCTGCTCACTGGGTGCCAAGGGGTCCCTCAAGGATTGCCCAAAAGCGCCAGTATTTACTTTGTGTCTTTGGGGCTGGAAATGGGGTAGAAGGACCAGATGCCCACAGAGTTACAGTCCAAAGTGGCCACCCACCCACGGAGCAGGCAGCAAGGACAATCCTCTCCCTTGGCAGGCTGGTTTGTCCCTCCAGGGTGGGGGACACCCAGGCTCAGTGTTTAGCCTACCCCTCAACCCCAGGCGCCTGTGAGTCTGAGACCTGCCTGTGCTTGGGTGCAGGTGCAGGCATTTCCTCCGTCAGCCTGGGACAGGCTCCTCAGAGCAACACACTACACCCCTGCACAGGGATGCACCCAGCTGTGCCCCTCCAGCCTCATGTGCACACACATACAGCTTCATGCATATATCATACACAGAGACAGACAGACCTATGTGTGTAGCTACACACAGCGTGCATGGCTGCAGGGGCCATAGCTACAAATGCACAAAGCTCTATACACTGAGTTACAGCAGCAGCACACACATGCATGCACACAAACGCGCCCCCCGCCCACACACACAGGCACATGCAGAGATCTATCTAAGCCCCCACCCCTAACATTTCTCTCCACTCCTCCTAACAAACCATGGAATACCACCAAAGCCACACAGAAGAGGGGTTCTTCAGGGGGTCCTCCCTGAGCCCCCATCTCCCAAGGGCTGCAGAGCCTCCAGTTCATGCTTGGGGCTCAGTTCAAGACACAGCTGCCAGAGCCGAAAGTGTCCAGGACTCCACCTCCACTCCCTCTGGCATCAACACAGCCCATGCTGGGCCCTCCTACCTGGGACATGGTGGGTATTGTGTAAGCGCTGGGTCTTTGAAGGTGCCTGTCTGGCAGGCAGCAGCTGCTGGAGAAGGTCTGAGCGAAGCCCAGCCTTCTGGAACTTATATAGCCTGCTTGCTTGTCCCGGAGAGCCACTGCCCCTCCTCCGGCAGGCTCCCTGATGATTCAGGTCCGCAGGGTCGCTGGCTTCAGAGTTTATTCTCAGCGATGAGAGGGGCTCCGAGTACTGCTGCCTGGGGGTTGCAGCCCTGATGAAAGCAGGCGGCTGCAGAGACCCTGTGCCTTCCGGGACAGCTGCTTGATTCCCCCGGGGGAGGTGCTGGCACTGGTGGACTTGCTATGTGTTTACGGATGTGGGTCCTGGAATGTGTGACCATCTGAATTGTTCCTCTGCAAGGGTTCATCCCAGTGTGTGGGGTGGGTGTGGGGTGTCCCTGAGGGAACGGAGGGCCCTAGCCGGCTTGGACTGCTCCAAGCTTGTTTTTCTTCCTCTTCCACCCCTTCCCCTGGATTCCAGTGGAGAGATTTTCCATCCCTGCCTGGTGGTAGAGCAGGAGCTTCCCGTGTCTGCTCCCTTTGCTCATGGCAAGCTCACTGGGCCCTGACAGCAAACCCAGAGAGAGAGGCTGCCGCAGGCCCACAGGTGGACAGCCTGAGGTACAGGGGCCTGGGGAGTTGCTCAGCAAACCCAGAGAGAGAGGGGCTGCCGCAGGCCCACAGGTTGACAGCCTGAGGTACAGGGGCCTGGGGAGTTGCTCAGCAAACCCAGAGAGAGAGGGGCTGCCGCAGGCCCACAGGTGGATAGCCTGAGGTACAGGGGCCTGGGGAGTTGCTCATGGTTTTGCTGATGTACTTGTCCTCTGTCCCATTCCAACTGCAAGTTCAGCGAGGGGGAGTAAGGGGTCTGGAAAGGACTAGGCAGGAAACCATGCTCGATGGTGAGGGCACTGAGAGAAGTGGGAGGCAGGCTCAGGCTCAGGTCTCCGACTAGGTGCGGCCACCACAGGGGGGCTGGCCTGTAGGACAGTTTCAGTTGGGGGACAGTGAAGCCCACTCCAGGTATTAAGCTGCGGAGACAACAGGCCCAATTGCTCCCCTGGAAGGTCACTTAGCTCTTCTCTGCTAAAAGCTCCTAACACACTCCTCCTTGCAAGGGGAAGATCCCCCAGGGCACAGGACAGGACCCTAAGCCTGGAGTGGGTGTGGGGAATAGGTATGCACAGAAGGTTGGGGCCCTCCCAGTGACAGACATATCTAAGTCCTTTTCAGTTTATGGAGATTATTTTTATCCTTGAAGGCTCCAGGCAGATGGAACCCAACCAGGCACTGACATTTGGTTATCCCAAATGCCACTCCATTGCGGTCATACTTTGAACCCCACCCCAATATCCCTCCTGCCATCCTGGCTCCAGGAGGCCAATGAGAGGACTGCCAGGCTTGATCTGAGACAAGTGCTGACATGAGGAATGTCCAGGATGTGGCACATGGGCCAAGAGGCCGCCGAGGGCAGGCCAGGCCTCGTGGGGGCCTTCCACTAGCTCCAGGGGTGCCCCTGCAGATGGCACCTGACGCTGACGCTCTGCCCAGGGACCTGCCTTCCAGCCCCACAGCCTCAAGGACGAGGATGTGGGCTGCTCACTGCTTATACTCTACCTCCCCAACATGACATCCTCCTCAGAGACGGACTTGCTTTAATTCTCACTAGCGAGGAAGTGGAGATGGACATGGCAAGAGCATGTTTGGGTTTTCCCTGGGCAGATGCGGGCTCCCACTCCTGCCATGAGGCTCCGTAAGGTTCCTTCTCACTCTGGTCTCTGGGGAGAACTTTCTAATTCACAAGGGAATCTTTTTTTGACCCTGCCAAGCTGTTTCACCTCCAGAGAACACACAACCAACAACCACAAATGTGATGGCTTCTTTTTTTAAAAAACTGTAATAAGATGCCAAACTTTATTGTAAACCATTTTACAATGTAAGTACATCATCTCTTTCATTTCAAAAAAACGTTTCTGTGAATCCTACCACCACCGATTAAGCACCCCCACTGGATGGCTGCTGAAGTGGGCCATGGTTTTGCTCGCATAGGTCTGACTTCTAACAAACTTCAGGAAAAGAAAAATCAAATTTAAAACAACCCAACCAACCAACCACCAACCAACCCAGGAGCTCAAGGTGCTCGTGGCAAGTCAGACCGTAAGTCCCTTACCGAAAGCCAAGCCCCTCAGAGCTGCCAGTGTTTCACAAAGTGAAACAGAGAGCTCTGCACTCTCAGCCGCAAACGTGTGAAACTTCTAAAAGCCAGCCCCACACTCTACGAGGCAGCTGCTCTGGCCGGTGGGAAGCTCCTTGTACTGCCTATCTTAGCCTGGCTGCGAAAAGGCCAGTGAACTGCAAGGGCAGAGTGGGCTGCCAGCTGGGCGCTGTTCCCTCCAGGGTTCTGAGGCAGCCTTTGGACATAAACTTGGGGCTGCAGCCTACAGGCTTACACTGCCTAAGGGAAGTCACAGCTTGGATTTGAGCCTTTTAACATTTTCCCTGAAGAAAGAGGCATGACAGGTGACATTAACCCATGACTCCCTGTTGCCAGGGAAGACACAAGTTAAAACTTGAGGAAGGAGACCACCAGCATGGCCGAGGGGCCACAGACCCTCCTCTTGCATGTGTGCAAGCTGAGTGGACCAAGAAGCCATCACCACCTGGGATCTCACCAACATCCCCCCTTGCCCCCGGGGCTGCCATTGTCAACAACCCTCTGACAGCAAAAGGAAATAACAGTATCAACCACCTCTTCCATTTGGATATGACAGTTCTACCTCATTAGTTTATTTCCAGTAGGTACAAGAAATTTGTTCATGACCTTGACTTGCAAGGTTCCATCACAGGTGGCTTGGCTGAGGTCCAGATTTGGACAAATCGGATTGATAGCACACAATATCCAGTCAACGTCCCATCATTTCTCAACACGGTGATGAATGCCATGTGGCCAGGTGAAGAGCTGCACCTCGTAAGGCACCTTGGAGCAGGTGGTGAGGAAACTCATCCCAGGGAGGGAGGGCAGCTCGGGAGGAAGTCCTGACCACAGCCCTCTGATGTGCTCTCATGGGATGGTGCACCACGGAAGAGCCCCCAGTGACTGCAGGAGGCACTCCTGGGGATACAGATTTGTGTGTGTGCACACACACATATACACAAGAAAGGGAAGGCCAAACACGAGAGGTGCCCTATGGTGAGACACCCTATTAGACCCCCATCCCCTGGTCAGCCAGCTACTAGCTGCAGCCCAGAGACTAAAGCCCTTTCTGAAAATCAGGATACAGGGAAAAACCATCACTCCTCAGCTACCTCTTTGTTCCCCAAACCCACTGCTCCCTGGGAACTGGGCCGAGCCTTCAGATGAGACCATCTGAGGTTTACATAACCCAGGGTTTGTTTCACAGCTTTCACAGATTATGGCTCTTCTATCCCCTGCCCTGTTTGGAAACATTAGGAGCTCAAGACTGAACATGAAGCTCTGATTGTGAGCTCCAGGAAGGTGGAAGAAACAGCTGCAGGCACAGGTTGTTCAAACCAAAATGAAACAGGAGGGCAGGAATCAGAATTGAGTCAGTGATGCCATGAGCGCCTCTTAGGAACATGAGTTCCTGACCGTCCTGTCAGGAACATGAGTCTTGGTCTTCCCAATGCGACTGAGAATGGCCTGGTTCCAGCCACTCTTCCCCACTAGAGAGCTGCTGGGGGAAATACTGGCTACCATAGCTGTGGATGGGAGGGAGCACAGAGTCAGTCTGAGCAGGAGCAACACCGGCAAAATTGCCTCCTACCGCAGTTACAGTCCCTGCTCCTCTCGGCATCCTGGCTCTGCACTCCTGGCGGAAGATGGGCTGAGAAGGCCTCCCTGATGTTCACCTTCAAGTCCAGAACAGGCAGGACTCTTAAGAGGCAGACGGCAGTCCCAGGGTACCTGGTTTAACAGCTGGGTTCATGCGCCACAATTCGGACCCAATGTGTTTAAGTGAAACACATGTTCATGCAGGTCTAAAAGGAAGGTTCTAAGTGGAGTGGCCTCCTCTGCACTTGTCTCACTTAAAGTCCAGCCTGTCTCCCTTCTAGCTCACACCTTAGCAGTGTGGCTTCCTGTTCCTAACCATCCGTGGCCACCTCTGAGCTTGACAAACCACTGAGCAGTGCCCCTACCTTGCTGCTTCCACAGCAGGGAAACTGCCGGGGTCAGCCCATTCCACAGTCACTCAGGAAACTCCCAAAGCCACAGGGGCCTGTAGCCATGCTGAGGAGTAGGGGCCACTCCTCAGGGAGGGGACACGGCCTAGAAGCACCTTGCCCTGCCTGTGGTTTAGAGAGTGAGCTCTCTCACCCCTGCCTGCCTTAGCCACCTCAGCTTTGGAGGGCGAGAAAAACAGGATCACTTTGTGAGGCAGATGTTCTCCAGAATGCTGTGCAAAACAAATAGACGACACTAGGATAACAGGTACTAGGGCAGCAGGAGAGGAGGTTCCTGGTGCTGCGTCCAGAGGCTGGCTCTGAAGGCTGCAGCAGTGGGGGCTGAGAGGCCAAGACCACTTTAAATCGTGATTAGAGGCTCTGCAGACAGGCAGACCACACTGGAGTCTGGTAGTCTTGGGTCCTCTGGACACAAAGACCTCTTAGCTAAGCTCCTTTCTTGGTCAAATTTAACTAAGACCTCTAATCTGCCAGCAGGAACGCTAGAGCTCGCCGGCCATGGACAGAGCTCTTCCTGTTCCACACACTCTGCAGCTCCTGGATCTGCATCCAGACCAGCTGCTCTAAGCTTGGGTCTGATCTTCACAGAACCACTGGGTTTGCTGATTCTAGAGAAGAGCCATCCTCCTTCCCTCCCCAATCATTTGTCTCATCTTATCATAGGGCATCATCTAACAATATTCCAAATAAAAAACTCCCGACTTTTTCCTCCTGCCAGCCCACACCCCATGAAAGGCAAATAAACCCATTTCTTTGGGGATTAAAAAGAGTTTTTAAATACAATAGTATGAAAATATAACTTAAAAATATAAAAGTCAAACAGCATACGGAAGACTTAAAAATCTCTGTTTTGCCCATTAGTCCCATAAGTACTTTGTAGGAAATAAACACATATCCCCAACCCGGTAACACTGTCACAGCTCATAAAACCAGCTTCAGAAATCAATAGTTACAAAAGCCATTTCGAGTAAGAAAGCATTCCGTTTCCAACTTGGTCAACGAGTCACTTTTAGCCCAAAGGCATTACGTGTTCGCACT